TTGTGTGCTTGTGTGTTTGTGTGTGTTTGTGTGTGTGTGTGTGCGTGTTTGCGTGTCCGTACGTGTACGGCTTAGGGTGTGCATGGGTTTGGGTTCGGGGTCCGGAGTAGGACCGGGTGGGGCGTGGAGCTCGTGGATGCTTCATAGGATTTGCAGTTCAGGTGCTAGGGTAGGTGGCGAAGATGGCTATGGCGAGTGAGTTGAGAATCTTGAATTACATGGGGTGGGTTTGACTAGAAGCTTCAGCCAGTCAATTCTTAAACGCATCATGGGAAAGCCAACTTGGACCTGTCACTCCACACCAGCTTGGAACGCCCATTCAATCTACAGGGTCTTGCAGTTTCACCCCTTCCTCCCTCCCTCCCTCCATCTGTCCCTCCCTCTCCCTCACACTCTTCACAAATCCCTGAGCCCCAAAAGGGTGACTGTGGTTTCGATGAGAATGCTTAGTCACTAGTCCGTGCTTTCATGTATTGTGCGTAAGTGACAACTTTCCTGGATCTATGCCAAACTCATGTGCAGCACCAGCTCGTTCCACAGTGTCTACATTGGAGAGACTTCGTGCAGAGGTCTAATCTTAACAACGCATCCCTGCACGAAGTCACCATCAGCTGAGGCCAAGAAGGGGCGGAAGCAATTTTGCGTGCTTTCGGCCTGGGGCCTGATACACATGCAAGGGTTCTGCGAAAACGTAGCTGAGTTTTGGCACAATGTTCCTTAGCGCAAAAAGCCACTACCAGATAGGTAGCTGAAGGGGTTCCTTCACTTGCAGAGTTTTCGGGCACCGGCCCGGGTATATAGTTGTATTTCTTTGGGGCTGAGGCATACATAATTGCATACGGTTGGAGTTAAGGTGGAAAGCGAGCCCATCTTAAGCATGAATCCAGAACAGGTTCGAACAGTCAGTAAAAGCCTCGGCTCTAGCTAGCCAGTCTATTCACGACGACCCCGCTCCTTGCTTCGATCGTTGCCAAGGCACTCACCCCACAAGGAGCTACCCGTTCCAGCTGCTCATCAACAAGTCTCTGCTCCTGCACCGCACGAGTGGAGCAAGCGGACCCCAAGGGGAACACAAGCAAAATGGTCCTGCTTGTTGTATTAGAAGGTGGATGCCAGACAGGCTTTTCTCGTGAGGTTTCATGTTGGCCCCCCGGAGTTTCAGACGGGACCGACGAACTAAGAAACCCCAAGCCCAAAAGCATCTAAGCTCGAAAGCCCGACAAATCAAAGCTCAGGCCCCATGCCCGTAACATGCAAAGGTGGGTTCCTTCTGGCCGATAGTCAAAGTCCACAGGCGTTGCTTGCAAGCACGACCCTGTCAACGCTTTTCCCTAGAGCCCCGAAGTCTTATAAACACCAATGCCCTCAAGCTCAACGACGCTCTAAAGCCCTAAAGCCCCTAAAGGTTTCGGTCTAGGTCCACATGTTTTTTTTGCGCAGCCGTATTAGGCCTTAGACTCCCCCGTAAGGACCAGCCTTTCAGGTTTGGTGCTTGCTGGGTACGACTCGAGCATAATGCGTGGGCCTTGTGGTACGGTCGTGAGTAGCTCAGGGTTAAGGGTTTAGGGCCTACGGCTTCGGGTTGAAGGTCTAGTGCTCACCATGGGCTTTCCGGACTAGGGTTAATATTGTATAGAGTAGAAGTATATAGTGTAGGGGGTTGAATTACTGGCACTATTATTTCGTTTGGCTTGCCCAACAGAATGCCCCGGATTAGATATTCAAGCCCCCGATGTTCAGACAGACTCGAGCCTGCTTTGGATTCTAAAGCCCCTCCGTAAAGCCTTGGCTCTAGACCTTTAACGCAACCTTAAAAAACAGATGAAACAATGATCTACAATAAATTGAAGCATGTTGCGCGACATGGAGCCACCGGCTGTCGGCTTCCCCACGGTATTCCAGGATTTGGAGGATAGAGTTTCAGATTTAGGCCACAGGGCTGTCTACTAGTCTACCTCTGCTTGCTCGGCAACTGCGCGTCATCTCCCTTAATTACAGAGGAAAGGTCCCGAATTGAGGAATCAAGTTGGCCACACCGAGGACTGCGAAAAAAACAACTGTCAGACTACGACCCGTGCCGGAAGGATTGAAATCTGCAACCCGAAACCCTACAACCCTCAGCCGTAGACCCTACAAGCCAAAACTCTACATGGACAATAAAAGTGTTCCAAAGACGGATCCCGCGGAGATTTCTGAACATAAGCAGACTTCTATGCATTGGAGCTCTTTGCGGGTTGGGGCAACTGTTTGAGTGCAAAGAGGTTTGGGAATTTGTGCTCAGATTTTTGAACCAAGCATGGGAGGTTGTTGAGGTTCTGTGATAAAGGACGATGTAGGGCCTTTAGGCTTTAGGATTGGGGGTGTCCAGAGGGCCTCTTTGCGGTGGAAGCGAGTCTAGCTAGGCTATGGGGTGGTGTCGGTTCTCAGGCTTTGCAAGAGTTCCCTGAGTGCAGAGCAGTAGTCGTTCTCGACCGTAGCCGTGAGGCAGGCTCCCAACCACCACGACACCAAGAGGTTGATTTGGGTTTGAGGACAAAATACGGGAGCCTTACCTGGTTTATGTTCCTCTTTAAGTCTAAACTCTCCAAGCCATCATCCAGTCTTGTCAGTTTTGGCATCTGAGAGGCAGCATGGCAAAGGCCCTAGCAGGGGACCCGGCCTTCGCTGCAGGCGTTTCTAAGAGCTGCTTCGGCCGTGGCGGCGACTTCACGGTGGTGGTGGAAGGGCTGCAGGGTGAGGACGACAAGCTGATCAACTCTGAGGAGTTTGTCGAGCAGCAGATCGCAGACTTCTCCAGTGGAGCGGTGGAAATCTTCCTTCGTTTTCTTTACTCCGGGTGGTAGAAGGCCAGCTTGAAACCCTGATGGAAGTTTGCTCGCTGGCGGACAAATACCAGGTCGACAGGCTCCAGGAACTTTGCGCAGAGGCATTCCAGAGAGACCTGAAAGCGGAGGACGCCTGCCAGCTCTTTGCAACTGCCGCCTGCTACCAGTTGGCACACCTTCGCAGAATGGCGCTGGAGAAATCTGGATCGAAGCCGAAACTGCGCTGAACAAAAATCACGAACATCAGCCCGGAACTCCCGGAGGAAATCCTCTAGCCTGGCCTGATTTGCATGTGCAACGCTGATCTCAGGGTCGTCTTGAAGCGACTTTGCCTTGGCCATTGCAGCCAGTCATTGATAGACGCTTCACCGCATGAAGGATGAGGCTGCACGGCTGGCAGCTGCTGAAGATGCTGACCCGCCTGAAGACCAACATATGGCTCGATACAGCGATGATATCTTCAACTCGCTTCGGGCTGAGTGAAGATTCAGAAAATGCAACTTCACCACGTTTTGGATATTGGGCGACTGTAGTGTTCGGACGCAAAGGCTGGCTGCTGTGTGATAACAACCCTGGGCCATCCTGGGCCATTGGAGCAGTATGTCAGCAATCGTAAACCTTTCAAGCTGGAGGGTTCTGATTCAATTATATGGATGCTTGCAAGAATCCGTTTACCTCACGGGCCTTTCCTTCGCCTGGAAGATGCCCGGGCATATTCACTGCAAAATCTTCTGTTCACAGGATGGTATGAGATGGCATCTAGCTGCTGACACACAGAAGTCGACCATCAATGCTGACACTGCGCTACGCCTCAACCGACCCCGTCACCTGGTGAAGTGGTTCAAGCTTGAGGTTCTGGAAGGCTTGTTTTGGAACAGCTTGTGTGTTCAAGGTATCCACAAGGATTATCTTCACTGACTTTCGGCAGCTGCTTCTTGAATCCTGTGTGAGGAAAGGCAGCCAATAGTGGCTGTGTGTGCTGCTTATCCCCCGACTATTCCCTTGCCCCCCTTCCCGATCTCATCGAAATCCATGAATTTGCTTCGGCCCAAACCCTAAGGACCTATGGCCCTTCCAAACAGAAACCCAAAGCCAAAAACCTACAAACCCTGAAGCCCTAATGCCGCAAGATCAAAGCAGAGCAACCCTGGACGAGGTCATCCCAGACCCGTCCGGCTTGCTCAAGGCAATCGGCGAGGCCTGCCCGGCTCAGTGGACCGAAGATCATTTTTAACTTCGTAGAAACTGTAAGCCTAAACTGTTTCGGACCTCGAAACTCAGCAATTAGGCACATGTTTTGTCTTGTTGATTTTGTAAACAAACGTGGGAGCTGGTTGCTCTTGGCTCCACTTCCGGCTGTCGTTTAGTTTCAAGCAGTTGCTGCACAGCCTTCGACCTCCTCCTGCAAGTGGAGTATTTAGACTGCGACTCTTAGTATCATGATCATCATATTACGTTTGTTCCTCTTCGGCTATTGCTTATGAGCGTTAATTGTTCCGTGCATTCACTCGACATATACGAATATCATGATTGTCATTCGTCTTTGGCGAGCTTAATACACATTTCAAGCTTCCCTAGGATGAAATCTCGCACTTTAGTTTTAATTTTCTGAAGTTGAACTGAGTATTCCAGCGGAAGAGGGCGAGTCTACTGGTGGAACACCGGAATTTGAAAAGCCTTTGGGGGGTATACTGTATACTGCAGCATATCTTCATACGGGCTAGCTAGGGGTAGGTAATTATTACCACTAAAGATAACAGGCCTCGCTATTGTAGGGCTTTTAGACATGATGACAAGGTCTACATTCTACATGTAGTCTGACAGCGTCAAGGATGACGTGTGCGCTGTGGTTTCCGCATACACCTTTAAGCCGCTAAGCCGTTGCACAGACCCCAAACTGCTTAAACTCTAAGCGCAACCGACAGTCATACACCTATACACCTTACAGCCTGAAGACAGGAACTCGCAGATTTCATATCTAAACGCCAACAATCCAAACCCAAACCCCCAACGCCCGAAACACTGATAAGATATTGTAAAGCTTGGTAGGTCCCCGCGCAAAACCTCGCAACAGCTCTATATTGCCCGACCCTGCACCGCAGCCCCCTGGTGCTGGACCCCATATATTAGCGGCTTAGATTCGGGCGTATGAACTTGAGGGCTGTGGGAGAGGTCTGAGGTCTTGAGGCTTCAGGGAGGTTTGGCTTTAAAGCATTGCGGGATTCCGTTTCCGCTGAGACGAGCTATTCCGATGTACATCCCTCAGTAGTATCCAGGCTTATCACCCCTTGTCTTTATGAGGATCACATGTTCATAAAGATCCTCGTATGAGGGCCGTTAATGAGCATCATAGGGGCGCAATTTAGAGGCCCTGAAAGTGGGGTGTTTCTCTGCGTTCTGTCCTTGACAGCTTGGTGTTCGTATCACTCCCACGACCGACCGGCTTGGGGCCCAGGGAGGAGTGCCTTTCTGAATCTTGAGATTCTCGATAAAGCCTTGTCAGTTTATAAAGCATTCCTTGTCTTGTGCTTGCTTTGGGATAAAGAGTGTAGATGTTAGCGCTTCGGGTTTTAGGGTTTCATGTAGAGGTCGGAATACCTTTCAAGCAGCATTCCGGCATACATCCTCCTCCTTGCAAGTGGGAGCTCAGCCCTTGACCTCTGGATTCATGATGAACCAGGTGTGCAACACATTATTTCTGTTTCGTGTTCCACACACGGAACCTCCCAACCCCGGGTTCTGGCGTTATGCGCCGTGGGCATCAAGCATAGAAGCTGAGATGCAGAGGGTAGGAGGGTTGCAGAAGGAGCCGCTGCTTTTCTCGTGGTTTAGTCTGTTGGGCTCTAAAGCATGCTCAGGAAGTAATTAAGACTGAAGTATTACCGGCGCCAAACCACATCTGTATAGTGCAACCGTGGAATATTAAGAAGTATTGCAATGCGGGGATGCCTAACATCATTGTCGCAGCGAGACCCATAAAAAAGTTCAGTCTCAGTGATAGAGAAGCCCAAGTATGGAGTACCATATTATTCCTGTATACTCGCTGATATACTTATCGTAGGATGTACCCCCGAATTCCATTCCAACGATTACGGCCCCTGTTCACAGTTTCTTGCTGTAAGGCTTAGACTCCTATAGTTCTTGAAACCTGAAAGCACCTGGAAGCCTATCCTCCAAACGCTAGCGCAGAGGTCATGAGGATATCCGCTTATAACTTTTGTTCCCTTAAGTTGTTACTGCATAGCGAAATTATGCTGCATTGCCTTATCCCCTATTCTGCTGGGTCAGGCATATATCCTATATCTTTTCATTCCTGGGAGGCCAAAGCCCAACAGCCCCACAGCCTGAACGTTTAAATGACCCACAAAGCCTTGTCATGCCCGTGTAGAAACCAGATATACCCCTCCGCAAACCCTTTTAAACCCCAAAAACAATGGCCTTAAACCCTATAAGAGCCCAGGTAGCCCTTAAAAATGCGCTCAGGCTAAACCTTAAACTCCACAACCCCCCTGCCTCCAAGCCATGCTAAAGGCGAGGCGGCGACTTCGGCCCAGGGCGTGCGCCCAGCTGGGCACTGGCCTCGGCTGTGTTGTTTTTGTTGTTGTTCTTGATGTGGTAGCTTGTGTTGTTGTTGTGTGTGTGTGTGTGTGTGTGCGTGTGTGTGTGTGCGCGTGCGCGTGTGTGTGTGTGTGTTTTTTGGGGGGAGGCTCAGCGTTTTCAGACTCAGCTGTTAAAGCAGGGCTATTTGTTAAGTTTCGAGTGTCGTTCGCTTCAAAAACTGCTCGGATGGTGGCGTCAGGCTTTGGTGCTGGTGTCGCTTTATCTCACAAATAGAAGAAATCGAAGTCCTTGTGTGGTCCTACGCGCGTGTGGTCTATGAAGAAACCAGAACCGTTTTCTTGGGCACGTTTATTGGGCCCAGAACGAAGGGTTAGAGAGAGAGGGAGAGAGCGAGCGAGAGCACACACGAAGATACACGAATGTGGGAGCTTCTGAAAGCGAGGGGCTCTTTGTCTAAATCTTAGGGCGTGCTTACATCAAGGATCTCGCTGCCAAGGGCTCTATAGTTGGATCTGTTATATAGTTTATTTCTGAAGATCCCATGTCAATGTTAGTGCAACCAGCACAAAGCGACCTTCTGGCCCCACGTGCCTCATGTAGAGCTGCAGGTCCTGACACTAAGGAATGTTACTTTCCATACTACATACTACATACTCTCGGATAGTTCGGATTGGCCACGAAAGAAGCCACACACAAAAGCTCAGACATGTACTCCTAAAGGAGGGTGTATTTTCGGCCGTCTCGTCAGTTTTGCTCCGGATCCAAGGCTACGTCTCCAGACGTGGTGCCTCATGCAGTTCCGCACTCGGTCTGTCATGTTCTGTGCAGTGTCAGTGTTCTCCTCTCGTTGGTTCTGGGGGTTTCGACTTAAGAGTAGGCTCGTATGCAGCAAGTCGTTCGAAAAAGCAACCAAGCTAGGATCCGAATTGGCGGTGAGGAGCCTGCTTCGCTTCCTGGAAAGCTTTGAGGTCAAGGAGTGCAATGATAGAAGCATATATGGGAATATAACTGTATGGCCGCTTTATGTTTAATATAGAATAACGTATCGTAGTATGTGACTATACCTAATATTACGTAAACATATAGAGTGGTCGTTAGTATCTGCAGAAATATTTAACAGCCATTTCTAGTAGTATGCCATAATGAATCACAATACATACTATATGATATGTATATATATACACATGTTTATACGTTTTTACATACATATATATTTATACATATGTATGTCCGCACATACATCTATATTTAACAGCACCAAGCGATATGCAGCACCATTTACTTATACATACTAACAAGTCTACAAAACAATAATATCTTTCCAATTTATAAGAAACTCTAAAAGTACATAAAATAACATAATCAATAATAGACAACAGTGTTTACAAATACCATGTAGCTAGTATAATATTTGACAAAAACATATGACACACATCATACAATAACATACACACACACATGCGTACATCTGCATATGTGTATATGTATAGGGAGGGAGATGTAGATGTGTACATATATTTATGTGTGTGTACATATATATATGTATATGTATATGTATATGTATATGTATATGTATGTATGCAGGTGTGTGTGTGTATATGTATATACATGCACACACACACACATATATATATATATATATAGATGTAAATATGTATGTATGCATGCATGCATGTATGTACCTACATAAGGTATGTATGTATGTATGTATGTATGTACGCATGTATGTATGTATGTATGTATGTTTGCATGTATGTATGTATGTATGTATGTATGTATG